ACTCTTTTTTAAAGGTAGACCTGGTATTGTGGGGATGGAAATTGTTGTACCACCGTAACCATGATATAACCTCACCTTCTAGGTAGATAGAGGCGATGGTGACCCTCTAGTACGTTGGTGTCTCATGGAACTCAAAATACCTTTCAGCCCTGAAGATCCAAGCCACCAAATCCTCTTCGGAAAAAGTTGGGAAGTGTAATCGCATAGCTCTCTCTCCAAGCACCCCCCACTCCAGTGACTACTGTTGCCACTAGACTCTTTGCCTTCTAGTTCTTTTCCCCCATCAGTGCCTACCTTGTCATGCTAAGACATTATCACTGACAAAGCTTCCTTGATGTTTCTCAGGTCTCCTTCGAACTTGTGTAAGATAACCTTAATCAGGTCTACTCTCTCTTCCATCGAGACCGATCTGGTGTTGGGCATGGACCGACACTCTGATACCAATTGTTAAGTTATTGCTCAACTTTAGGAATCGGCTTTGAGGGCGACTCAACCTCCTTAGAGAAGAAGGTAAGGCATTAATGGGAGAAATTTCTCATACTGCATTTCATTTCTCAACTGATACTTATAGGCTTAACATGTGAAGCCATGTGCAGTTAGTTATTCTCAAGCCTAACGTAGCCTTCTCAGATAGGCATACCGGATTGTAGGTTTAATTGGTGAGGTCAAGTAGGGTAGTGTGATCCCTGGGGTGTGTCCAAGTTTGTTTGGGTTCTGGCTTGGAGTACACTCAATGGGTGGAGTAGATTGGGTTCTACCAATACAAGTCCCTTAGTTTTGGTAACTTTCTTCAATGTGCAACACTAGGAAGCTCATGCATAATAACAGGAATGGAAATGGATTTGCCAAGACTATCTACTCTACTATCATGATTAACTTTGATGCATATGTTCAAAATGGGGTGGTACATTGAGATATAAATGGGAGATATATGGATTGTAAGGTTCAATGCATCTAAATGCTTTATTGAACAAGAGTATATACTAGACCTAGAAATTGGATTGGGAGGGTCGGGTTCAGCTGTTCAGGTTGATTCAGGTTGGGTTGAGTTTGGAGTTGGATCGAGAAATGTTAGAGCCTAACCATAAATGTTTATCTATAAAAAAAAAACCATAAATGTTTGGGTTAGGGTTGTACAAGTCAATTCACATCAACCATAAAAATAATTGGAATTTCAAAAAATATAGGAAAAAATACATAAAAATGCCAAAATTAAAGGAACTAACCTTAGAACCTAAATATAAAATAAAAAACTTGAAAATTTAAAAATAAAAGAGTAAACAATAAAGAGTAAAGATTAAATAGTAAAAACTTTTGATAATACCTCAATAGTCCCAATTAGACCTAACAATTATGTTAGCTACACTTCAAAAAATGGGTCAATGGGTTGACCTATGATCCAACCCGACCCAACCCATTTTTTCCTATTAACAAGATATGAGATCTTAATCCTTTTTTTTCTTCAAGTTGGGTCGGGTCAAGTTCACAAGTTGGATAAACTTTTTGCTAGGTCTAGTGTAGACTTACTGACTTCATGCGCAACACTATTATGTCTATTGAACAAATGGAGTGCAATATTTGCCTGTTGAAAAAAAAGAGCAAAAAAATTGCAATTAGGGTTATCAATGGTTTGGGTCTGACCTGATGGACCCAATGAGACCGAACTGATGTAACGGTTATGGTTCTAGAATTTAGACCGATGGGTCAGTTCCAACTCTTGTTTTTTGTCCCAATAATTATCGAGTAGGGACTGGTTCTACCTTGTCCTGAACTAACTCAGACCCAAACCATTGACGACCATTGACAAGCCATTAATTTCCCAATGGATTGGTTCAGGACCAATTCTATCCTGTCCTGACCTGTTGATAGTCCTAATTACGGTATCTACTATTACGTTGAAATATAATAGCGTACAAATCACTTATGGATTTGGAAGATTAATGGGTTAAGGTCCAAATAATTTAGGGCTAGCAACCTTAAGGTGACTGAATCCATAGCATCAAGAAAGGCATTAATTATTTACCAAAAAAAAAAAAAAGAAAGGCAATAATTCTTACAAGAGCTAGCAACCTTAAACTGCATTCTCTGTCTGTTAAGGAATGTTCTACATGAGAGAGTTGTTACAATAAGAAAACCCTGAACAATGGATTATAAGCTGCTTAAGAGATGAGACAACAATTTCAAGATTTGCATGTCGCTATAGTTGGGGAATATCTAATAACTTTAACAAGCTCAATTACAAAATTCTTATTGTAACATGAAACCTGGGATGTATTTACATTCACATGAAAGCAGTAACCATTCAATAAATGACTGAAGATAAAAATCATGATTTTTTAAAGCGAACTGGTTAGGGGTCCAGTTATCGGTTTGAACGGTTTGATTGTTCAATTTGAATGATCGGCCCATTCTGATAAAAAAATTAAAAAATGGTCAAAACCGTTTGAACGATTAATCAGCCGGTTTAATGGTTTGTTGACCAAAATCAACGATTTTGAAGAAAAAAACGGTTCTGGGGGAAAATGGACCGGTTCTCGATTTTTCCGGTCCGATTTTGAAAACCATGATAAAAACAATTGGAATAATCTGATCCTTGGATTCCCAAACCCGCATTGCATTTTTCAAAACCCATCTCATTGCTTCCTACATTCAAACTTCTATCTTCATTCTTTTTTTTTCAATAGTTGTACAACAGATGGTGGGAGGCCTATACTATACCTTGATTAGGACCAAATCTACAAGGAGAGTTGAATCAAATTAGAATGGATGAAACGAGTCATTTTCCTAGTTAAACTTGTCTAAGTAAGAGTGCTACTCCAAACAATTAGAAACCTATGTTTTTATCTTATTTTCCATAATAATATTGTTGTTTATTATCGCTGATAAAAAACGAGAAAAGCTCAACAAGAAGGAAAACGATTTTACAATTCCATTTCTGGATAGTAACAAGTCAAGATTCTCATAAGGGTACATTCATGAGTACTTGGACCCCTGAAAAAAAAAAAAAGAAAAAAAAACAGTGCTCATCCTCTCAATTGATGATGGATGGGCAACAAAACAACCTTAAATTTGAACTTTAATAAAAAGAAAATGACCATTGAGTACGAGCAGTAGTTCAATAGTGGTTTGAGAACGTTGGGGAAAGGGTTTTGTTGTGCCGGTCTCTGGTTGGGTATAAAACCTAGATGAGATATTCAAAGGAGGTGTAGCCTTGGGTTTGGGGTCAGTCGGGGGTCAAAATAATTAATTTTTGTGTTTTAGCGCCCACTTCAATTGAGTGAACCGCCGTTAGGTGTCAAATTCTGTTAGTTTGGGCTTCATGACGTTTTAACACGGGATTGGGAGGTTTAGGATGCGATGTAGAAGTGTAAACAGTGTTCGAAAATCCAATTTTGAATTCAAGATTCAACATAATTGAATTGATCTCAGATATCCATCCTATTTATACTAAATACTTAATTAGATTTGAATCTGAATATTCGATGAATATCCAAATTCGATTGATTATTTAATTCTTATATGTAATATATAAAATATTTAAATGTTTCATATAATTTATATAATAATTAAATTATATACATACTTTATATAAATAAAATATTTATTTTATATATTAGTTATCTAAAACAATTAATTAATCGAATTTGAGTCGAATCAAATCAAATATTCAGATATTTAATCGAATTTGAATTCGAATATTAATTTTCAATATCCATTGGATATCAAATCGAATTCGGATGTCGGATTTTCTAATCGGATTCTAATTTGAATATTGCTTGGTTCAATTTGAATTTGATCTATTTACACCCCTAGGAGGAGGCTGATTGGCCATAAGTAGGGTTGGCAACAAGTCGAGCTTTTCATGAGCTGCTCGAGCTTGGCTCGTGAAAAGCTCAGTTCGGCTTGGCTCGGTTTCAACCGAGCTCGAGTTCGAGCTTGAGCCCAATTCATTGGCTCGATTATTAAACGAGTCGAGCTTGGCTCGATTATTAATATATATATATATATATATATAATAAAAATATTATAATTATTAATTATTGTAATTCTTAATTTTTTAAATATTAAATAAAAAATATTTTTATATATAACTTTTTATTTTTATAAAATATTTTTTCTCAAAATCGAGCTCGAGCTTATGAATTTTTTACTCAAGGCGAGCTTGAGCTCAAGGTTCTGGCTCGAGCTATTCGGCTCGGCTCGACTCAAATCCACCCTATCCATAAGATAATAAACTATGTTTGTTTTGATAGAAAATAAGAAAGTTGTTGATTATAGTTGAGGGTCTAGGGAATGGGTTGAAAAGAGTATTTATTATTTTTCATATTGCATGCTACCTCATGGCCAAACCTATTCACGGGCTGGGCTTCGGGCCCAATTTTACACTATCTCAGGCTCGAGCTTCGAGTCAAGTCGATTAGAATTTTGACAAAAGCCAAACTCGAGCTCAACCCATGATCAGGTCTACTCATGACAACAATTTTATAACCAAACACTCCAATATTAATCATTGTTGCCCAAAATGAACAAAAATTAAAAAATTAAACCTAGAGCAACAAACCAAAATATAGCGTGACAGAATTCATATTCAAATTCAACCCCATTACATCTTTTTTTTTTGGCAATGTGCAATAACCATCCTCCAAACCCTAAAACCCCCAAGACATGTGAAGGTGGGATTTGCTGTTTCAAGAGTCCGATAACAATTGACCCGACCCGTTGACAACCATGAAATTTTTTTGGTAGAATCTTAGCCGTTTATATTTTTTGGTAGAATCTTAGCCGCATATTTCAGGTACACATACTTCATCGGCCGAGTAATACGCTCGGTTTTATTTGGCCACCAAAGATTTATTAACCTAGACCAGCTAGTTAAATTGGCGAATCCTACTATGAACGGCTATGATTTACGAAAGTGTACGCAACGTACAGAACATGCGTCTTGACGTTTTACAGGAAAACGGCAAGATCCCAAATGACGATATAAAACGATTGGAGAGTCGCTTAGAAAAACCCTAGCTCGTTACGGGAACCCTAAGCAGGTGCATTTCCCTCGATTTTCTCCGCCTCGTCTGCTCGTCCCGGCGGCAGCGGCACTAGATCAAAGATGAAGGTTCGTTCTGAAAAGCCCAATCTATGATAGGAATGTTGAAAGTATTCTCTCTTTCAATCCCTATTTCTCTGTTATCGTTCTTACCATATTCTCGTTTTCTTCGCAGTTCAACATCGCAAATCCTACTACAGGATGCCAGAAGAAGCTTGAAATCGACGATGACCAGAAACTGTAAGTGTTATATTCGTCCATCTATATGATAAATCTTTTTCTGTTTTAAATCAATAATCGAGTGTATCTCTAAATCGTCTTTGGTAAGGATTTACTTGGTAGAGTCAGACAAGTGGATTTATTCGATATCATACCATCTAATGTGGGTTTTGATATGTTAATAACGAACAATTTAAAAATTCCATTATAATAAGTACGAAGCTATGCAGTTTTCAAGTATGGTTCCTAGAGATGCTTCAAGTTTGTGGGGTTAACTAGCGAGTAAAATCTTTCTCTCCTAAACACTAACGGAAACGCTCCGGATGGATTAAGCTTTGCTTGAAATTGAGGACTTTTAGTGGTGACAACCAGAAGCGTGATTTGTCTTTTTGGTGGGAAATTATGCTCTATCTTTTAAAATTTGAATGGAATGGATCTTGGACAAGTCGGTGTGCTCTGCTCTAGAATAGAAGAAAGCCCTTGATTCGGTTGCATTGCGGGTGGTAAATCTGATGAGTTGAACAAGTTTTGGGCCGCTTATTTTCGTCTATTTGGGACTATACCTTGGGCAATGTTTGTTTTGATGCAAAATAAGAGAAACCAGAAAGTTGGTGAAACTTCTTTACAAATTTTGTGATATCTCTTAAGAACTTTCTCTCAAGTTTCGTCTTTTCTCTTATTTTCTTTCAAAACAAATCACAACCTGAGGGTTGCTATTTCTTGATCTCTGTCTTTGGGTCCGTTGAAGTGGTATCGGTAGATAGCAACAATCGTTATTTTACTCACCCTTTCAGTTTATATCATAAATTCCCAAAAAATGTCAATGATAGCTATGGAATCCTGAGGTACCCTTTTGCTCCATTATACTCCACTTAGAGCTACATCAATGATCCAATATAAAGCAGTAGAAGAGAATGCACAAAAAAAGAAGTAAAAGAAAAAGGAAAAATGAAAAAAAAAGAAAATTGGATTGTACTCTTTTTATTGATGTTATTTTCTATACTTGATAATAATGGTATTAACCATGTCCATACACTTGGGCAGTGTTTGGAACCAATGCCATTTCCTCATGTGTGTTTTTTTGAGAAAATGATCCTGCATTGGCAAGCAGTTTTTGGCCCCTTCACTTTTCAGTAAGGTACTTACCTGTGAAAGTGTTTCCCCTGAAACATTTATCTTGGTAAGTGCATCTACCCATGCTCTTTTATTTTCCAGGTAAAAATAAGACAATGACCATTTTAGCCATAAAAATTTAATTATCAAAATGTGCATTTTTGTCCCATCTAAGTGTTGACAACTTTCCCCTAGATGGGAAAATTAATTTACCCACCTACCCAGGAAAATAAACTTTTCTTGATCCCCACATAAATCTGAAAAAAAGAATATAGGTTTTCTTGGTTGACCAACTTTCCCCCTCTAAAAATCCCAAAAACTAATGCCCCGATGTTTTTCCCTTTTTTCTGTTTGGGACCATTGCTGTTGCTTCCACATAGGCTTTTTTCATTGCCACGTCAGCATACTTTTGCTGGCAACTGAAAAATTACAAAACACCAAAAAATGGTAATTTCTTTCTATTTCCAAGGTGTGTTCTGAAAAACATTTTTCAAAAAAAAAGGTCAAACATCAGCTGTGGTCTATTGGGGAGGATGAGGATGGTGTACACTGTGATTACACGCTCTGAAATAATGAACTATTTTCTTTCAAAAAGACATCAGGTGTGGTCTAAAAAATGGATTTCCAAGATCAGGCATGGTCTATTGGGGAAGATGGTATACAATGTAATCACTCTCTGAAGTAATGAACTATTTTCTTTCAAAAAAAAATCAGGCATGGCTCCGTTTTTCAAGAAAACTGTATCGGTTCCAAACACGAACTTAATCTCCCTAGAGATATTTGATATAAGATCTCATTTTATTATTACTTGAGTTCATTTAGCTTTGGTTATTGTTTAATCAAAACGTTATATTGATCACTAGTGGTTGCTTAAGTCAAGTTATCAACCATCTTTGGGTGCCGAGCTGCAACTGCCATCCCTTTTTGGATTCCGGCCATTCTTATTTTGTTTTTGCTTGTTTTGATTATTCTTCAGCTTATTTCATAAATATAAAAATAATGCTCTTAATCGCTACTTTTCAGGTTTGTTGTCCAATGTTATTTTATATTTGTTCTTCTGCCTTGCATTGATTTTGTTTTCAAGATCAAGATATCATTTTTCTTACATTCTTATCATTAAATGATCATACAGCCGAGCATTTTTTGACAAGAGGATCTCACAGGAGGTTAGTGGAGATGCTCTTGGTGAGGTACGTTTTCTCGTCTCCCAACTTCTAATGCTTCTCGTTAATAAGGATCCTCTTAGTTAAGTTATTTTGCTATATTTTATAGGAATTTAAGGGTTACGTTTTCAAAATTATGGGAGGCTGCGACAAGCAAGGATTCCCCATGAAACAGGGAGTGCTAACCCCTGGTCGTGTTCGTCTCTTGCTACACAGAGGTTGGTGGAAGGAAACCTATTCGTTTAGTGTTTAGTCGATCCTCACGGTTCCACTTGTATTCTAGCAGACTGCTATGGATTGTTGATATTCTCATCACCTTTTGTTTTGTTAGGCACACCTTGCTTCCGTGGATATGGCAGACGCAATGGAGAGCGGCGGAGGAAGTCTGTCCGTGGATGCATTGTCAGCCCAGACCTCTCAGTTCTGAACTTGGTTATTGTGAAGAAGGGTGAGAATGACCTTCCAGGATTGACTGATACTGAGAAACCAAGAATGAGGGGTCCAAAGAGGGCATCAAAGATCCGGAAACTCTTCAATCTCTCTAAACAAGATGATGTTCGGAAGTATGTCAACACATACCGCCGAACCTTCACCACTAAATCTGGTAGGTTTTTATTCTCATAGTGGGATATCAGAAAGAAGCCAACCAATCTAGTATTAACAGATGCTAGTTTCTTCTGGGGGTTGTGCCAAGATCCAGTATTAAACTATTGACTAAATTTGGTGGCATTTGTGTGGCTGACAGGGAAAAAGTGCAGTAAAGCTCCCAAGATACAGAGGCTGGTGACACCATTGACTCTGCAAAGGAAGAGGGCTAGGATTGCCGATAAGAAGAGGAGAATTGCTAAAGCCAAATCGGAGGCAGCCGAGTATCAGAAGCTTCTTGCCGGCAGGTTGAAGGAGCAACGGGAACGCCGAAGTGAGAGCTTAGCAAAGAAGAGATCAAGGCTCTCTGTTGCCTCTAAGCCATCTGTTGCAGCTTAGATCGGTGCTTTAGTGAATATATAGGAGTTATTGGCTAGAGAAATCTTGATTTCTCTTGTCCATTGTGATTTTGTCTGGTGCTGGTGCTTTTAGGTGTTTTGGTATTGTTTGATGTTCAAGTAACTGAGACTATTACTTTTGTCGGAAACGTAATTTCTTGGTTGGTTTATAAATTTAGAACATTGCTAATCGAATTATGTTCAGAACAAAAGTGCTGTTATTTTCTGAAATTGTCTTAAATATTCAAACTTAATTATAAAATACCTGCTCTTTCTAGTTTCTATATGCGATCTGACCCGGATCCAATAGAAAATGGAGGCCAGTCTAATTCATTCTAACGCAAGTGGATGGTGTTAGAGTCCATCCAAACCGAACTTATTGAAATAACAGGAATCACCGTAAATAATAAATTTTTAGAGGAATGTAAAACTTACATGAGAATATCAGATATTTGCGATTAAATATTAAAATTGTAGAAAAAAACAAGAATTGTAAAAGAACTTATAAATTACATGAAAATGAACTAAAGTGGAAGAAAAAAATAAATTTCTTCAACTATTACATGCAAAGTAATTGATTGCTTGGCATTCCATTTTTTTGGTATTAAACCGAAAAAAACTTCATCTACAAACATGTGGATCTAGGAGGCTTTTTAAGTTTTGTTTTGAGAATCATAATTGAGAAGCTTTGTTCTTTTTTCTTCCATTAATCCACCAGCAAAACATTTTTGTAAGCAGCTTCCCATGAGGACTCTCTTATAATCCAACTTCAGACATTTACAAGAGCCAATAGTCCATTAGGTTTTATGTGGGGAATAAGAAGTTTAGACAAATTTAATAGTTAACATATAAAATTAGGACAGACATTTACAAAAACCAATAGTCCATTAGGTTTTATGTGGGGAATAAGAAGTGTAGACAAATTTAATAGTTAACATATAAAATTAGGACACAAATTGAATTTGGGCTCTGATCCAACAGCAGACAAATATACTGTTGTTACTTTCTCATTTGAGCACAAGTACTTCACAATTACCYTTGAGATAAAATGAACTAAAGCCAATAGATATGGGAAGTAAAACTGACTTGTATAGTTGTATGTTCTTTATTATTTCTTGAGAATGCTCAATTTGCAAAACCAACCTGCTTAGCCATGCAAAAGGGTTAAAAATGAACACAACAACCAACTTTTCAGCATTCTTTCACTTCAGTAAATCTAGAATCCACGAGCAGAAATTGAAATCACGCAAAAGAATTATATCCTTCTGAGAATTCCTTATGATGGATTTGAGTTCAAGGTTCTAAATATTGATACAGGCCGATATGCCAGTACTCCGGTAAGACGTATTGGCCTGTATTGGTGTTTTTTTTGTGTTTTATTTATTTTTTTCAAAACCAATTCAAAGGGGTCGATTTAAGTCCTGACTACCCTCTKAATCATGGCCTTACCTGATACGGGAAGGCTTCAATATGATACATATTAGCCGATATATAACAATATTTTGAACCTTGTTTGATTTTATCATCAAATGAATGCAATTACCAATTTTGTATCAGATAAGTTGATTTTATGACAATATTTTCTAACTAGTTGCATTAGATCCAACTAGTCAGAAAGATAAAAGCTAAAAGCTAATTTACTTGACAGGATGATATGGTAGTAACTCCTAGCCTTCTTCCAACAAAATACACTCCAAATACCCCGCCAACATCATCCCACAGCACATCTCATGCATGATAGGTCCCACTTTTATGGTGAGCCCCATTTTCATAGTGAGATGTGTGATCTTAGATGAAAATAGTAGGATGTTAGAACGTGTTTTTGTTGGCAGGAGATCCCAACTGTCTTCGTGTCCGGGTTGTATSTTCACAAATCTCTACCCACATTTACCCGTTTTTAATTGCAACTATACATCACCATCTTGTATTGTGAAATGCAAGGTTGTAGTGTACTGTGGGTACGGCGTTTATAGAGAAAGTGAGCAAGAAATCTGGATTAACTTAATTGCATCGTCCTGTTTGACACTGGTAGCAACAAACCAAATTTGCTCCATCAGTATGTTGACTAATGCAGCGACCAAATTTGTTATTCTACTTGATGCAACAGTTTACTAAGTGCATGTGCCAGTCTGTTACTGGTATATTAAGCATGTTGAATTTGTTTAATCATTCATGGCAGACCTGAATCCATTCAAACTTTTAAGCGTTAAGGTGTATTGCCTTTAAGAATGCTTCAAGCATTTTTTTTTTTTTTTTTTAAATTTGGAAATCACATAGTATACTGTTACGAACTAGTCTTTTATTTATTTATTTAATGGTATTATGTCTAGTAATTCAAACTCGGTCTTGGCCAAACGATTTAGTGGGTTTTATTGGGTTAACCATTCCAACCTATCACTAGGGCTTAACTGTTTCTTCATGATATCCTGGGACTATTAGTTCTAGTTTGCAACGCCAAAATTCATTACTTGATAATGCTTTCTCCTATTTTCTAATTGCCTGCAGTTATATAGTTTATGGATTGATTTATTGAACTACGGTTCTGGTGTTTTAACTTTTGACTAGTATTCCAGTTTCTTTGAGTTCCTAAAGATGATCCCTTGTAAGGGAAGGTTCCGTTAATGTTATTTATCTCTATCTAGACTTGTTGATAACCTTCTTTAAGTTGGTACAAAAATCACCAAAGCTTTTGTTTCTTAACTCAATTTTTTTAGTTAAGATGCTTTCCTATCCCACCAGAAGTGAGGACTAAATTTTCTGCCCCAGAACTGGCTTTAACGTCGTGCTGTTAGATCTGAACTGGGCTCGGGTTTGGCTTTTGTCAAAATTTTAATGGGCGCAATCCGAAACCTGAACCTGAGATAGTGTAAAGTTGGGCCCGACGCCCGGCCYATTAACAGATCTATCTATCGTCTCCATCAACCTCGCTTTCAAGACTCACACATGAGAGGCAGGTTTAACGTGTAAAGCTGATGTGGAAGGCTGTTCCCACGGCTTCCGTCAGGGGAGAGAAATTTGGCTCCTATTTTCACGGTGGATTTAAAGCCACCTCATCTAGCATTTAAAACTTATGACAAAAACAAGAGGTATGGATTCATCATCCACCCTTAAAAGTGATTGCACCTACATTTTGAAACGACAGTTTTTCCCATCACGGATACCAGATTTCTTCCTCGCAGATCGCTCCTTACCAACCTCACAGATGTTGCAGTCATACATGGGAAAATCACCTGTACTTGCATTTCATCTTTCATGGGGAATTGTTCTCTTGTAATGTTCTATGAGATTGGTGTGAAGAGCAAATTCGGGGAAACCCCTGCAAAAACACTCTACACATATTCTGCAAATAATATACGCATTCAGCCCCACATCAGGAATATCTTCAATATATAGAAGATGTTCCTAATGTGTGGTTGAATGCCGTATGTGAAGAGTTTTTGCTTACAGGCGATTTGGGCTCTATATTTTAATATCACAATGGCGATGGAATCTCCTACAAGCAAAAGCTCTCTGCAGAATCTGAATAAATATATATATATATATATGAAAAATATTTGTAATGTACAATTGAATACTGTATACATTGAACTTTTACATGCACCAGATTCAAGATCATCACAGARKTTTTTACTTACAGGAGATCCCAAGTGTTTTTGTTATCTCCCGGATTTTCCTGGTAACCTAAGGTTCAAACTATTGCAATGCATTGAATACGTAGAATTGGATGCTAATTGGCATAAGCAGTAGTAATCAAAACATTAAAAAAAAAAGTGTGTTAAGTTATCGATGCTTTGAACCATTCCAATAGCCTCCTTCCAGGCTTCGACCATGAGCTAACCTAAGAGACAAAAAGATCGAAATGGGTATTTTACAGTAATAACCCTTCAGCAACAAAAACCTTTAATTCTGTCTCTAAAATATATATTTTGAAATTGATAGAAGTATCCTCTTTATAAAATATTAAATATAATTTTATCATTTCAATTATTTTATTTTATTTTCTGGACCCCTATTGACTTTTAATTCCTGTCTTATGGCAGAAAAAAATAATTTTGTTCCTTCAACAAGTATATATTAAAGTTTTTTTTCTTTTTTTTTAATTCATACCATATGCGAGAAGGTGCTCGACAAAGGCAATTTTTGAAACAAGTTATTGAATTGAACCCAAAACTAGAGCCTAGAGGATAACAAGTTAATAGATAAACGTAAACCTATTAACCCAAAAAGATAATATCTATGAACCATGGAATCTAAAGAAGGAATGCAAGGGATTTTACAATTAAGAAAATGGGTAATATCAAGAATATCAAAATAAACATGGCAGAAGAAATTAATGTTTTACAAAAAATGGAACAGAGCGTTGAGTGACATATTAATGGTAAAGAAGAATACAGAGAGCATTGAGTGACATGATAAGATGGTTGGTCCCCCCGAATACAGAGAGCATTCTTTTTTAGATTCCATGGTTCATAGATATTAATGCAGGGATGCAAAGGAATCAGATCGGACTCAAATCATGATGTATCCGAATTCCGACATTATTCATGGTGGATCCGATCCAATTTGAAGATCTAATAAGCAAGGATTTAAATTTGAATCAGATCGGGAAGTCATACTTTCGGATATGATCTGATCTAATTTGCTTTCTTTTCAAATTAATAAATTGTTAAAATAAAACATACCAATTTAAATAAAGAAAAATAAAAAATATAAATATTTTTTAAATTATTTCATCATATGTATACATTTTTTAGGAATAGCAACAAGGCGGGCTGGGGATGGGACAAGGTTATTCCCATCCCCGTGGGGATTCTCATTCCCCGTGATTTTTTTTATAATGTTAATTGATGTAACCGTTTATGGTCATGTATCATTTTTTGTGATGTATAAATTTTTTGGCTAAGTACCTCGTTGTTTGACCCGGTGGTGACGTGCCTTGCTGATGAGCTACTTGGTGGCGAACTACCCGGTGGCGAGCTCCCTGGTAGAGAGCTACTTGGTGACGAACTGCC